TAATAATGTATTCTTAGTTATAATTACTTATGCAGTGATAACTTACCATAGCCAAAAGTATGGCGTTTACAACGCCAGCTACCCAATTGACAAGAATCATATGTATAAATTCCGTGATTAACACAAATCTATACATACGCTGCGTATTAATACTGAAGGGAAGCTCTAATTTGTTGACAAACGGCAACTCGATTATATCGGTAACATCAGCATCAGCGATAATGACTCCCAGACAATAAGTAATGATAGATATCGTGTGGAGAACAAGTATCACGATAGTGATGCGATCCGATATTTTTGCTTTGCCTGTCATCACGCGCATCCCAATGTCGTTCTTAGCGCAATTACTCCAGTCGTCCGTGATTAATGCCAAAGTCTCCACGAATTTTCTGTGGACGATTGTTCCTCGATCATGCTGTCAATTCAAATAAAAGTCCTATTCATCGCGTCACACAGAACCGTATCTTTAGAAATATTTCACCTTCGACTTGTACGAAATAACATTGACGTTACTGCATGTCTCTTTTAATTTTCTTACACATTTTTGCAATTTTTTGTTTTTCTTCCAAAACCAAAAGAAGTAATAATAAAGAATTAAAAACGTCCAAAAAGACAATTATAAAAAAGTGGGATATGCAATTTTTGAATGCAACCAACATTATGGATTTTAGTCTTAGTAATTATCTATAGATTAATTTATATATATATATATATCTTTTTTAAATTAAATTATTAAAATAATATTAATTAACACAGTCGCTTTATTTACCGTTGGTTCACCCAAAACGCAATGAGCTTAATGAATACTTTTCCATGTGCCAAGAAGCTGCATAAACAATCCACCAAGTTAAAAAAGTTCTCTGAATTTAAATGTGTCGAGAAATAAAGATAGTGACAAAGTTCGAGAAATGTCATTGTAATAATCCAAAACAATCTGGTAATTAAATTAATTAATCTGTTTGGACTGATGCCAAACCAAGGAAGCATAATAAATATTATGCGATTAATTGTGCTTTTCCGAGTCATAGCCTTTATTTCCCTCTACGTTCGATTGTGTCGAAGCGAGCGCATTAGAAAATATCTAACAGAATAAGAATTTTTTAAGGGAAACAAATTAAAAAATACGCTTAGAGATGTATTTCCCAATAACAGCACGATGTATATCATTGGACACCTGCGTAAAGACTGGTGCGCGTGGGAGGTGTTCATACAGGTGCATCCCCGGCAAATCGACCAATGGAAGTTGCTCATAAAATATTTTTATTGTGCGTGCAGACCTCAAATACAGCCGTCATGTTCCCTTGCAGTTTTATGGTAAAAAAAAAGGAAACAGATAAGATATTCTTCATCTTTGGTACCGACAGTGTATAACCACAGTGCAGCCATGAAGTGCGTATGTTAAATATGTAATGATACACGCGGAGGAATACGTGCATCGTTCGTCCCACGAGAGAATGTCCTCGATTTTTGTTTCATCGCGGCATCACAGTTCTTTCAAGAAATCGCTTACTGGGCAGTAAACAATAATATCTCATATGAAGCAACGATGGCAGTGTCGATTCGTTGGCGATGTAACTATTGATTTTATCGTCTTAGCATTACGTTGCGTTAATTCGCGACAGTAAAGTCATGCGGTGAATGCCAATTCTTAGAACACATTTACTCTGGCTGGTACAATTGCTATATAAACTTAATTATTTTTTTATAATGCATAAATCATCTTTGCATAATACAAATATTTACAAGTTTCTATTAAGAAATTTATATGAAAATAATGGCATACATTCGCTACTGTATATTCAACATGCAAAAAAAGAGATTCTTTTTTAGAAGATCATAAAACATCTTAATATTTTATTCTAAATTGTACAAAAAATCCACGAATTTTAATGAGACTGCGATATGTGACAATATTATGATGTATTGTAATTTGCGAAAGGACGAATTAGATTATTGTCCTGTATTATATTTGGAGAAACATACTCTGTCAACGTGAATTTCTAGAACTACTAATGTGTAGATAAGTCATAACACTTTTAGACTGTTGCTAAAACGTCGACAATCTAGTGTTTACTGCATCGCCAATAGTATCGACAGATATGATCCTGAAGCATTCATAATCTAGAAGAATATTGTATTTTTGCATTAGAGAATTAAATATATTTTTTTCTATTTCTAATATTAGAAAAACTCTTTTTTCATCGAGAATGGAATTTCTGTATATAAATCTTACACTTGTAAAAGATTTTAAGGATAGCTCCATCATCTTTCCGGCTGTAAGCGTCAGGTGCTTTTGTGATCTTAATATGACAAATAACAGGACATGACTATCTTTAGATTTCATGTTGTACCATGGACAGTTGTATGCAGCAAGGCCAATTTCGTTGCTCTATAAAAATGGAAATAATAGAGAAATTTTTAATGTTTTAGTAGATATTCTTTACAATATCTTTTTTAATTATATATAATTTGCTACTATTTATTATTAACACTCAACGATAAATATTAATATTTTGTCATAAATTTCATTGCCAACCTTGTTTTTCAGATATTCTCCAACATAGCAGAATATATACGCTTCGAGATTTGTTTGAACGCAAAATAAAAAAGTTCTTACTAATCGAACCGTTGTATTGGGGCTACCGATGTTCTGTAATATTATGCAACACACAACATTGCATCCGAAAAAGTATTATAAACTTAATATAAAATTAATTATATACAAACAAATTATTGAATGTAATGACATATATGGAATTATTATAATATACTAAGGTAAATATTTTATTTTTTAGAATATTATATGCTATGTATAATTAAAAGTGAATGTAATTGATAAAAATAGAATAACATAATTTGAATAATAAAAAGTAAACTAAGATTTAATACTATCATTTTATTTTTAATACAAGTTTATATTTAATAATTTTACTCACCGAGGTTACGACAAGAAAAGCTATGACACAAATCATTAACGAATTTGATACAAACTGCATCAACGCAATTGACGTATAAAGATTTTCGATATTTTCTGATAAACGTATAATCTTTTTATGCTTTTGAATAATTTTAGTCGTTACAATGGCGAGTGATTCATCTTTACTCTCATCTTCGGAGGATGTAAGCTGCGTTAACCAGTGACATACAATATTGATTTGGGCAGCTGTGTGAAAAGTCTGAAAATTAAGTTTCAGCATTGTTTGTGGAAATAATCGGAATCCATAATTGATGACCGAACAATGCAAAAAAATGAGCATTATACTGAACGATATTAACAAAATGTGGAAATTATAAGGAAATAATACAATCGGGTAACACAGATAATTTATTTTAATTTTTAGATCTATCATGTGTATCGAGCTTTTAAAAGACGCATAATGTAATTTACTATGTGAATTAAATTTAAAAATTATCCAAATTATATGTTAATCTTGAATTCTCGACTTACTAGAATTATTAACAAAGCATTTAATGTACCACCAGAGAAGGACCACATGAACATACAAAAGAATTCCGTCACAACAATACATCTAAATGTGCGTTGCGTGTTTATTTCGAAGGGAACTTCCATCTTGCAGATAAAGCTTAACTCTGTCGTGTTACTGGTGACATCGACATCGGCCACAACGACACCAATGCCGAAGGCAAATATTACGAACGCATGAAGGAAGAGTAACATGTTTGTAATACGTTCTGACGTTTTCGCTTTGCTCGTTAACTCGCGCATGCTGTTATCGTTATTAGCGCAATCACTCCAATCTTCCCGCATCATTGTCAAGACTTCGATGAATTTTCTATGAATGATGGTATTTGTTGATCGCATTATCAATCTTCATTTTTGCATTAATTGTAGACATTTATTATTTTTAAATGTAATATATATATATATATATGTATATATATATATATATAAATCAACACTTTGCATATTTCAACCAGCGAAACTTGATGGAATACTTTTATAAATTGTTTCCAACTTGTGCACATACACATTACTTACCGCTCCTTTAACCAAAACACAACGCACTTAAAAAGCACCTTGGAATGTGCCAAGACAACAGACAGACAATCCATGAATTCCGAAAGTGTGGCAGTATACATATGTCTTATGAAATAAAGGTAGTGACAGTACTGAGCAACTGTCACTGATACAATAAAAAACATTCTCCAGAACAGAGCACATGATGCTCCTGGCCAAGCACCACTCAAAATGAGAAAAAATTTCGCCGTGCGATTAAGAGGATTCTGATAAACCATGATTGTCTATTCTTTTTTACGCTTGCCCGTATAAATGAGTTTGTCAAAATATGTGACAGATAACAGATTGAAAACCTCTGGTGTAAGGCAAAAGAAATACGGACGAACGAAATGTATATCTCTCGACGGATATTTCGATGAAATATTGTTTATGTCTTAAAGGAAATTATGCACTGCAGAATAGCTACCTGAGACTGAGAAGTAGAGAGAAAAATCTAAAAGATCACCAAACAGATATATTCTTCAGCAACTGATCAATAAAATATACTCATTAAATATTTTTACCGTACTTTGTGCAGATCGTCCGTACATTTGTCGTGGGTCTTGACAATTTCAACAAAAAGAAGGGAACAGGTGGAGTCATCTCTCTCTTCGTCGAAAGCCGATGATGCGGTAGCAAATTGCTCGCTTTAAATAAGTAATGAAACGCATGAACATAGGTACGATATACACGGATTGCGAGCCGCGCTTAGTGAGCTTTGAAAACATTTTGAAGTTTGGAGGGGCGAAAGAAAATAACATAAAATTAAATAACTGCGTATCTGTATATCTATCTTTACATATAATATATTCTTACATTGCGAACTTTCAGGCGAGACCCACGATTTGTGTCTCTCCATAAGAAATCGACATATAGTATATGGTATACTTTAACAGAGAAATTTATTACATTATAGCTTTTCATGCCATGTTTTCACGTACATTATCTTTATCATCTAGGACAATAATTTGGAAAAATATGCAATATTACAATGTGTGTTAGTGTAACTAGTGAAGGCATATTTACATGTCGC